GAAGACGGTAGGGGCCTACACCCCCTCTGACGCAACAAATGTTAGGGGCCCACGGTAGTATCTGCGCAGAAATTTGTGGCAGAATTTGAGGCTTGTCAAACGACAAAACAAATCAATAGACAAACAAACGGCCCCTTGGTTTGCTGAAACCACTACCCATCCCTTCCTGTCCCAGGGAGTCGGCATCTATCGAGTTCTGGGAAGATGCGAAAGGTAGGTCGGAAGGGGAATCCTCAAGCTATGGTGATTAATTTATCAATCGCGTCTCAAAACATTTCTCAATATGAGTCCTTTACCGCCACATGCACCAACCGATCTGGTCATTCGTGAATTTGAACAGAAGTTTACTTTGCAAATTGGTCCCCTGAAAACTGTCGCGAGTGATTGGAATACCCTATTGATCAGTTCAGAATGGAGTCAATGGACGGATTTCACTAATCAACTCTACGGGATGAAACTGAGTATGATGAAATCTGGTTTCTATCCGGAAGCCAATGGACAGGCTGAAGAGATTAACCAGACTGTCACCCAACTCCTCCATGCTCTAATCATCCCCGATCGGAACACTTGAGACGAGACAAAGAGTTGGATGCAGTGAAGGGTTGTAAAACAACTCCATTCACTATGCCACCCACATGCCGCCTAACAGGCTGCAGTATGGCTGGCAGATCCGCAACCCTCTTTCTTTCTTGTTCCCTGATCGACCTCCTGATCTGACTCCGGGCATGCCTGGCTACCGGGCGTGAAGGGTTGTATAACAACCCAATTCAATCTGCCACCCACATGCCGCCTAACAGGCTGCAGTATGGCTGGCAGATCCGCAACCCTCCTTTCTTGTTCCCTGACCGACCTGCCGGTCTGACTCCCGGCATGCCTGGTCAGGCGGTAAAGTACCAACGCTTGCTCAAAAAGCTGCAATGGCAGCAATGAACAAGCACCAGGATGCCATGATCGTTCGCCAATCGGTGATGCAGGCCTGCAACTCTTAAGGAAGGAGATTATGTTTGGGTGAAAATGTCCGATTTTTCCGATGAAGAAGGAGTGTCCGGTAAATTACGCCCACTGTATTATTACGGCCCTTGGCAGACTCTGAAAGTTGTGGCGAGATGACGATTTCCGTCCTTCGTATGTAATCGACGTGCTGCCTCATCTGCGCACATATCCAATCTTTCATGCTTTTACACTCTATCCACATACTGCTGCTACTTCCTTTCCTGATTGTGATCCTATGATCCCTCGTGCCATTAATGAGGTTCACGAAGTTGACGGCATAGTAACTCACATGGGCGGCAACTTCGTGACCCTCATTAATGGCACGAGGGATCATAGGATCACAATCAGGAAAGGAAGTAGCAGCAGTATGTAGATAGAGTGTAAAAGCATGAAAGACTGTATCGTGATACCATCATCCTCTAAACGAATTCTATATTGAAGTCTTCACCCCGGGTGGTGGCAATTACCTATGAACGGCACTTGCAGCTTACTCCGCATGAAGGGCTGACAGCCCTTTTTGCATTTACTGCCTATGATGCATTTTGCTGCAACTATGTGGAGTCTAGTCTCGCTTGAAGGGACCTCGCTCTTAAAAACCATCGTTGCCTTCCCCGCTGTTGGGAAAATGGGAAAATAGCCTACTGACCGTACTCCTAAAAATTTGCGAGCTGGGCCCAACGGCGTCCGCCATTGACAAATCTCATTAGCGTCTGTTGTTTCGTTTCGCATCGGGTACCCCACAATGTGAAAACGAGGCCCAGGTCGCGGTGGTTTCAGAGGAGGGGGRGGGGGGGGGGGGGGGGGGGGGGGGGGGGGGGGGGGGGGGGGGGGGGGGTCCTGTAACGACCTGCAAAATTGCAGACTAAAAAAACAATCGGCTATTTTCCGAGTTTCGCCGCTAGTTCGAGTGACGTGCTGAGATTTTTGTATTCTGTTGAGGTTTCTAAGCATGTGTGTGTGTGCATGATTGCTGAGTTTCCGTGTGTTTGTATCGGTGTGCGTGTGACCCGCTGGGGTATTTGTGTGCTGGGAAGGCCCACGGATCTGGTACTTACCTGTGACCGTGTTGTTGTGCGGGCCAGTGGGGCAGTAGCATACGAAAGGCCCGTGAAGGCCAAAAACACAAAATGGCGAGTAGGTAGGCAGAAGAAGACAAAATGCTAACACCTTGGGAGGCCGATGTAGAATTTTAGAGCCCGGTAGGCTTAGAGAAAAAGGTATAGGTCCAAGTCGCTTTTGAGTCTAAAGCGTGCAGGAGGGGAGATATCAGACTCCAATGATCTTTCCCTCCGAAAGTGGGAGGCACGACTTGGAGGCCGCACGGCCTTGAAGCAACCGTGCGGGGAGGCACTTCACCAAGTACATCAAACTGGGAGGTGAAGTGCTCCGCCTCATTTGCAAGTGTGCAGCTTGGAGGCACGCTGCTGCTGGAGCACCCGCTCAGCATGATGATTCGAAAGAAACTCCCCCGAATGAACAACCCCCCAGTTTGTCATCTTCAGTCTTTTTCAGACCAGTGTTTGCAGCCAAATAAAGTAAGAGCAGTAGCTATGAGTGCTACTGATGGTCTTACAGACAGATAGCCCACCAGCTTTGTTTTTCTTTTTTCTTTTTTTCTTTTTTGTCAACTAACCTATATTTTTCTCTCAATTTTTTTTTTTACCTCACGCTATCCAGGCTCCATATCCTAAGCAGCAGGACCGGCTATCTAATTGACTCTATGCAGGGATTAGAACCTGGGCTACGAACCCTCAGCGAGGGATGGTAGGTAGGGGCAAGGGAGGGAATCATAGGCTCTCCTACCAAGACCCGCCGGGGAGGACAAGCCAACTTATCTCAGCTTGTGAACACCGGGCCTGCAGCAAGCGGCCGTGGGGGATTGAACGCACGACCTTCCTGAATACCACTTGTATGCTCAACTAAACAATTTTTTCCTTTTCTGAATAATTTTTTTTTATTCCAGTTTCTTTTATTTCTTAGCCAACTATCTTTTTAGTAAAGCTTTTGCAACCAGCGTGTACACCAACTTCAGAGCATAGACCAACCCACAGGCAGACAGACTGACAGATGCAAGACCATGAAAGAAACCAAATTGTAATGACCCACCAAAACACAGACTGAGAACACTGGTGATTTCTGGGATTTGCCGCTGGAATGAATGCCTTGCTGAGATTCCCGCAGTCTGGTGTGGTTTTGATGTCTGTGTGTGTGCATGCCTGCTGGTTTGCATGCCTGTCTGAGTGCTTGTTGGCTGAGTGTGTGTGTGACCCGCAAGGGTACTTGTTGGTTGAAAGGCCCCGGAGGGCCGGTACTTACCTGTGGCCGTGACTTTGAGGGGTTGCAGCGGGGAAAACACTCGAGTAGCGGGGGTAGGCCCACGACACTCAAGAGCAGCGGGGAAAAACACTCAAGTAGAAGGTAGGCCAGTACCACTCGAGTACGGGTAGGAGTGTCGGGTACTGGAGGCCAAGCAGAAGAAGACAAAAAGTTGGCATTTTTAGAGGCCCAGTAGCGGTAGGATTAGAGGTAGGCCGGTACCAGTCCAAGTAGCCTGAGTCTAGGGCCTGTCCGGACGATAGCAGAGCCTGCAATGATGTTTCCCTCCAAAAGGGAGGAGGTACCGGTTGCTGGGAGGCCGCTCGGCCTAGGAAGTCACCGCCCAAGAGGCCAGTAGGCCCCGCTATATCTTCCGGAGGAGCAAGTAGTTTGCGGTATGCAAGGATTGGCGACATGCTGCTGAGCCAAGCGCTGGATTTTGCAGCGCTGCCTGGAGGTGAAGGGCAGCTGGGCGCTCAGCCTGGCTATGGCGAGCAGCCCAGCTTGAGGAGGAGGAAGAAGGGGGCGAAGGAGGAGAGTGGCGAGGCACCTACCTGGCTATGGTGGACACCATCTTCATCACCTTGTTGGGTGCTGCATCTGGAAGGCCCCAGTTGGGGTAGTGCCGCACCAAGGAAGCTCGAGGCAGAGTCAAGCATGGCGGCTTAGTCAGCAGCGGCATAGCTGTTTTGGGTTGTCCTTTGGACAGCAGTGCAGCGCCATAACTGCTTTGGGTTGTCCTTTGGACAGGAGGGAAGGGCCCTCAGTAGTCCGCCATAGCCTAGGCATGCGAGAGGAGGAAGAAGGAGGGAAGCCATAGCTAGGGTGGACTTGTTGTTGTTGTTGTTGTGTCAGCAGTAAGAGGGAGCTTCGGACATTGATTCTGGTTCATCCACTCATTGTTATTATTATTATTGGGAGAAGAATAAGATTGGCGAAGTGAAGGAGGAGGAGGAAGGTGGAGAGAGAAGGGGGATTTGTCATTGGTCTTGCTGGTGTACATCTTCTTCTTTTTCTTCTTCTTCTTCTTCTTCTTCTTCTTCTTCTTCTTCTTCTTCTTCTTTCTCTCTTCTTTGGTGTCTATCTCTTTGCAAGTGCTTTCATTTTTGTCGCAATTGGGTGGCATTGTCTTTCATTGTGAATTTGCACTTTGGGAATGACCAGGATCGTAACAAAATGCTTTGAGGCCACCAAGGCTGACTGACTATGATAGACAAAAACTCAGGTCGCAGCATGAATTTTTAAAATAGAAAATCTAGCGATCGCTCGCAAAACCCAGAAAGCACATGTCGGTAAGTCACTACTTTTTTTTTTTCTTTTTTTTTTTTAAATCCGATTCTTCTTTACAATACGATCACTCACAAAATCCCATGCCCAGATTATTGACTCTAGTGTGAGACCATCGCCAAAATGACTCAGCGAGGTCGGTCGCTTCAGGAGGGTTTCGTCGTGTTGCTTTTCCACACACATGGCGCTACCACGATGCGACTTTCCAAGTCCGTTACCCTTGACATTAGTGGATTAACTAATTAAATTTCCCTGAAATGATCAAACAGTCTGCAAAGATCAGAGAGCCCGCAATAATCCACGTCGTTGCGGTCTGGACTGAACACCCTACTAACCAACAGACTAGAGAATCAAACCCTTAAAAATAATAATAATAATAATAATAAGTTAATAACTCAACTCACCAATTGAAAACCAAGTTGACAGCTGCGGTCTCCGGCAGCGCATTCCTGGTCCTCCTCTTCACGGTCGTGCAATGAGCGCACTTCCAGAACAGTTTTCTTGAAGTTGTAGCAATCGCAGGCAGTGGAACTAGGAGTCGCTGTGACATCGCACTCGTGCAAAATGTTTGGGTTGGCGAAAGAAATTCCATTATTGATCACCACAGCACTGGCGATCTTGGCATTCGACGTGACGGTGACATCCTTGCCTTTCCTTAATTGGAAACCATGGATCGAAGCTTCTCCTTCCACCAGCTTGACCCGAGCACAGCCATCAATTGCAACCACTGACTGCCACAAGGCGGCACAAGAGAACAAGAACATCAAGACCAAGTTGTTCATTCAGAACATCGTTAATCTATTCTTCTTTCTTTATTATCTTTTAAAGCACCAGTACTTGGCCTAGCTGTAAGCTGTGGGAAAAAAATTATAGTAGAAAGTACTAGAAATGTTTCTAATCGGATGAATTTGGGCGCTCCTGTGGTGGCCCGTACATTTCCTCAAATTGTGGCTTGTTAACCAGCGCGACTTTAGGAAGTACTGGTGGTTTAGGGGGGGGGGGGGGGGGGGGGGGGGGGGGGGGGGGCAGCACGGCAGATAGGGTTTGTGTTTTCAGTTCATGTTTTAACTTAGTTTGTGGATTGTTGGCAGACAGGGTAGACATGCTATCTTCCGAAATGGGAGACATGCTATCCGAATGTCTTGATCTAAGTAATTTGGCTCAGACTACAGGTATGGTTCCATTGGGCCATACATCGGCGAGCAGGCACGGCAGGGCCTTGCACCCCTAACCTTGAGATGTCGACACATTGCCATGGGTACCTTCAATGGCAGTAGATACCAGGAAGGATTCGAACGCAGGCAGGCCGACTGTTTGTTGCCGCCGGCCCCGCCAATTGAGTACTACCGGGTTCGAGACATCGCTGTGTGACCATTTGTGACCAATCAAGCGCCAACAGCTCGGCTGTGTGGCCATTTGTGACCAATCGAGCGCCAACAGCTCGGCTGTGTGACCATTTGTGACCAATCGAGACTTCCCTGTGTGACCATTTGTGACCAATCGAAGGATGAACATGAAGTTGCCCCTTCAATGGAGATGGAGAATATGTCGTTCGAAGAAGAAATGATGAAAGAGCTGTGCTTCGATGGCAGATATCCAACCCCAACAGCTCACAGTGAGAGGCAGCGCCTATCAGTGCCCAGGGGCGGTACTCTGCCCAGGGATGGTACTCGTATATGAAAACGGATGAACAGTAACTCTGGATGAACTGCTGGTTTAAACCACCACTACCTTTCACAGTGTTGGGAAAATCGGGAATATACGCCACACTGCATTTTTTGGACATCCCGAAGCGGCTCGGCAGGAAAGAACATAGAAAAAAGAAAAGATCGGGAGAATTTGGGACCCTATGGGCCCATGGTTAGAAAAAAAAAAACAAAAACAAACAAACAAACAAACAAACAAACAAACAAACAAACTATGAACTCCGAATCCAGCAACGTCGGGGAAGGCCCTCGCAGAGGTGGAAGTCACACCAGTGCTTTGAGGAATCTATCTGGCCAATATGTGTGGAATGTGTGTGCTGTTGTTTATATTTTTTTTTCTTCTCGTCGTTTGCTTTTGGTGCCCTGCCAGCAAGGCAAGGGCGTATTCCACACGGCGCAACTAACTGCCTCACTCACATCATACTCACACTAGTACTGCAGCGTCCTCTATTCGACCGTGATCACAGCATAATTGATGGGCTTTTTTTGGGGGGGGAGTTCTTCATCTGTTCTTCATCGGACAGACGCCCTCACTGACGGCAGTCTCACTAGCACCTCATAGAATGTATATGATGGCTATCATGGCGTTAGGGAAGTTTCTTTTGGTTTCTTCTTCTTCTTCTTCTTTATTTATTTTTTCACTAGGCTACCAGAGTGGCACAGTTTCTTTTGGTTTCTTCTTCTTCTTCTTCTTTATTTATTTTTTCACTAGGCTACGAGGACAAAAACGAGGGGCTGTGGCAAACTGTTTCGTCGGAGTTTCACCGACTCATATATATATATTTTTTAAGTTTTATTTTTTATTTTAAATTTGGTGAAGAATTTTGATGTTCAGTTTTTTTTTTTTTCAGTTTTCTCTCTGCATAACATAGTTCTTTTTGGGATTTTTGATAGGCTACCAGCCGGGCCGCCAGCCCGTGCAAGGACCAGGGAAGGTTCCAGCAAAAAAAAAAAAAAAAAAAAAAAAAAAAAAAAAAAAAAAAATCCGAAAAAAAACTATGTTATGCAGAAAACTAAACTGAACAACTTTTGCCTCAGGGTCACATTGAAATTCTTCACCAAATTTAGAATAATATATACATATATACAGGGTAACCGGCGTTTGGGACGGGCCGAACGCCCAAACCCGAACGCCCGAACGTATGGCACCCCTTGGGGATGCGTTCGGCCGTTCGGGCCGAACGCGGACCCAAAAAAAANAAAAAAAAAAAAAAAAAAACAGTCATCAAAAAAATCTGAAAAAAAGATACGTTATGGAGAAAAATAAATTAAACAAGATTTGCCTGAGCATTACATCCGAATTCCTTACCAAATTTGAAATAAAAATAAAATACACAGAACAAATACCAATAATAAAATCATGGCTACGATCCGGACGTCCGGACCGCCGTCCGGACGGTCTGGATTCAGTCCGGAATCCAGACGTCCGGTATGGAAGGTCCGGACCTGGCAAATTTCGAGAAAAAAAAAAAAAAAAAAAACGGTCCAGGACCCTTCCCCATTGAGGAGCCAAGCCCCCAAAATTGTTTTGGGGGGTTTTCAGGCCCGTTTATGCTTTTTCGGGGGGTCCGGACATGCTCTCTCTCTATAGTAATTTATTAGACAACCCCAATTTTTTAATTATTAATAATTCATTACCTTTTATTAGTTTTTTAAGTCTTTTTTTAAGCTTTTTATAGTTTTTGACTTTTAACTCAAAGTTTGGTTAGGAATTCTGACATGACTCTGAGGCAAAAGTGGTTTGCATTGTTATTCTGCATAACATACTTTTTTTTCAGATTTTTTTTTTTAATGGTCCAGACATTTCTGGACCTGTCCAGACTTCCAGACCGTCCGGATCCCCCCATGTCCGGAGGTTCGGAAAAGTCTGGAATTCCGGACGTCCGGAAACTACCGGACACGGGTCCGGTTCCATGTCCGGAAATGTCCGGGTCCGGGTCCGGCGTAGCCATGATAAAAATAAATAAAAATAAAAAGAGAATTAAATTTAGTGAGTGCACGAGCATGTTTTCGACACCGCCATCTTTGGCGATTTTTCATTTTTTTTTGGCATAGCTAAATGCCCTGAAAATTTACAGATGTGTACTTCACATAATACAAAACCCAAAAAACGTTTCAAAAAATAATAAAATTGTTTAGACCCCGAACTAAAGTGAAAACAAAAAGTAAAAAGTGAAAAAAAGCGTGGGCGAGCACGTTTTGACACCGCCATCTTTGGCGATTTTTAGTTCTTATTTGGCTAAGAGAAATGACTTGAAAATTTATAGGCATGTACCTCACCTCATAGAGAAGTCGTAAAAAAAAAATTATTTTTAGGCCCCGAAATAATTTTTGGCAGGGGCCGAACGCCGTCGGGTTCGGGCCCCGTACGGGACACCGAACGCCCGAACGTACGGAGGTCCACCCGGGGGCCTCCGTACGTACGGGCTGGTAACCCTGCTAATAATAAAAATAAATAAAAATAAAAAGAGAATTAAATTTAGTGAGTGCGCGAGCATGTTTTCGACACCGCCATCTTTGCCGATTTTTCATTTTTCTTTGGCATAGCTAAATGCCCTGAAAATTTACAGATGTGTAGTTCACATAATACAAAACCCACTTAAAAAGTTTAAAAAATAATGAAATTGTTTAGACCCCGAACTAACGTGAAAACAAAAAGTAAAAAGTGAAAAAAAAAGTGGGCGAGCACGTTTTGACACCGCCATCTTTGGCGATTTTTAGTTCTTATTTGGCAAAGAGAAATGACTTGAAAAATTTATAGGCATGTACCTCACATCATAGAGAAGTTGTAAAAAAAAATTCAAAAAAATATATATATTTTTAGGCCCCGAAATAATTTTTGGCGGGGGCCGAACGCCGTCGGGTTCGGGTCCCGTACGGGACCCCGAACGCCCGAGCGTACGGAGGTCCGCCCGGGGGCCTCCGTACGTACGGGCTGGTAACCCTGCATATATATATGTTTTGGCCCGGTCGGGCAAGTGACCCCGGGTCACTATGGTAGTCTAGGATTTTTGGGAATTTGTTGTTTTTTTTTTTTTGCTGTGACCTTCCTTGGTCCTTGCACGAGCTGGCCACCCGGGACCCGGGCGGCCCAGCTGGTAGCCTAGGAGTTTTGGATTTTCTTTTTTATTACTTTTCGGCTGGGACCTTCCCTAGTCCTTGCATGGTCGGGCCGCCCGGGAAAATAGGGTGACCCGGGCGGCCTGGCTGGCAGCCTAGTTTTTTCAGATTTTTCCCTTGTTCTTTTTCGGATGTAACTGCGGTGAGTACCAGAAAACAAAATACAATGGGCCCCAGGCTCGGCAAAACTTGGAGCGCAGTGACATTCAGTTTCGGCAAAAACAAGATTGGAGGTAGTGGAGTGCAAGACGGAAGAGGCATGCTATAAGCACACTTCAACATGGCAGTCAAAGACTCAATATCAACAACAGAATTATGGACCTCGCCGCACCACTCGCCAAGCGCCAACATTCTGAATGTATCTGGACCCGTGGTTAAAATGTTGGTGTTTGGCAATTGGTATGGCGATTCTACCATCTTCCCCCAAACACAACACACCAGACCAGAAAGATCCCTTGTATACAATCAGGATCCCCATCTGTAGCCTTTTGCTTTTCCTTTTATTAACTTTGTGTCCGGGTGAAGACGGTAGTTTTTTTATGGCAGGGCGACTGTGCAGATCTCTCTATCCTTATTATAGTAACCACACTACAAGTTTCCTGGGTGGTGAACCTGGCCACAATTGCAATCAGAAACATGCCCCCGAGGTGAGTATACACCTGGCAAGCATACATCCATTTCCAGGTACCCATCACTACCCCACATTCAATCCCTTTGCCACATCCCCTCCACAGTGTCAATATTCTCTTAATGGATCTCAAAACAAATTAATAAAAATTATGTAAAAAAAAAAAAAAAGCCTTATGGCAGATCGTCTGACGCTTAATGAGAAAGGACATGCCGGGAGGCCAGCTCTCCGCTCATCCAGCTCTTGCCACTAGTTAAAAACAGAAAATTAGCGGCAGATCGTCTGCCGCTTAACCAGAAAGGACATACCGGAGGGCAGCTCGCTGCTCATACAGCTCCTGCCGCTAGTTATAAAGATAGAAAATTAGTGGCAGACTGTCTGCCACTTAATGAGAAAGGAAATGCCAGGAGGGCAGCTCCCTGCTCATCAACCTCCTGTCAAACTATTAGGCACTATAATCACAAGAGAGAGGGGGGAGGAAGAGGAATCAGAGGAAGGGAGGGAGGGGGGTGAAGATGGGAGAGGTAAGGGAAGAGGGGAAAGGGAGGGGGGAGGAGGGAAGTGAGGGACAGCAGTGAAAGGAAGGGAGGAAAGCGAGGGACAGCAGTGAAAGGAAGGGAGGGAAGCGAGGGACAACAATGAAAGGAAGGGAGGGATAACAGTGAAAGGAAGCTAGGGTGAGCAGTGAAAGGAAGCGGGGGACAGCAGTGAAAGGAAGCGAGGGAACAGCAGTGAAAGGAAGCGAGGGAAGCGAGTGCCAGCAGTGAAGGAAAGGACGGAAGTGAGGGACAGCAGTGAAAAGAAGGGAGGGAGGCGAGGGACAGCAGTGAAAGGAAGGGAGAGAAGTGAGGGACAGAAGTGAAAGGAAACAAGGGACAGCAGTGAAAGAAAGGGAGGGAAGTGAGGGACAGCAGTGAAAGGAAGCCAGGGACAGCAGTGAACGAAAGTGAGGGAAGCGAAGGACAGCAGTGAAAGGAAGGGCGGGAAGCGAGGGACAGCAGTGAAAGGAAGGGAGGGAAGCGAGGGACGAGGGCTGAGGGAGGGAGGGAGACGGAGCAAGGAGGGAAGAGGGGGCCACCGAGGACGAGGAGGGAGAAAGAGGACGGAGGGACAGAAGACGAGGAAGGACGGACACATGGAGGCAGAGGCAAGCAAAACCACAAAAGAGAAATAGTGATGGGGGGTACAAATAGGTGGAGGGGCAGGTAACAGCAGAGGCAAAGACAGAGGGCATGAGTTGGGGATTGCACCTTCTTGTCAGATAACTCCACAATTGCCCCTTCCCTCGTGTAGCGGATATTCCTGCAGTAGAAAGTTTGTAAAACAAAGAAGCGAAAGGAGAACACAGTGGTTCAAAAAACAAAGAAGAGAAAGGAGCACACAGTAGTTCATAAAAGAGCAAAGAAAAAGGAGGGAGCACACTTCCTTGCTTACAAAAAAGAAAAGTGAGCGCACCGCGTTTTTTTTCCCCCCTACTGGAACAAAAAACCTGGGTGGGGTTCCGGGCTGCCCGGCGGACCAGCGGGGGCCCGGGTGGGGTCCCGGGCGGCCTGGCCGGGCAGTGCACCCGGTCGGTCCGCGGGCCCCCCCAGCACACAGGGCATTTCGGGGTTTTCAGACCCCATTTCGAACGGTGGTGGGCTCCCACAGGCCTACCGGGTCCGACCAGCCCAAAAACCCGCGGCATCGGGCCCGATAGGCCTGCGGGAGCCCGTTTCAACCCGTCGCCGTTCGCAGGATCTGCCGCCATTCTTCTTCTTCTTCTTCTTCTTCTTCTTCTTCTTCTTCTTCTTCTTCTTCTTCTTCTTGCATCAGTCGACCTTCGGCAGTTAACGGCGATCTTTATCTTCTTCGACCTTTTGGCTGTTTGGGGCAGGGCACATCTTCGGCGACCTTAGGCAGTTGTCGCGAACGACGAACGGAAAAAAAAAAAAGGTCGTCCTCCTCCCCCTCCTCTCCTCTTCTCTTCTACTTCTTCTTCTTCCCCCACAATCTTTCTTCTTCGTCGTCGTCTTCCCCTTTGTCCCCTCCTCCTCTTCTTCTTCTTCTTCTTCTTCTTCTTCTTCTTCTTCTTGCATCAGTCGACCTTCGGCAGTTAACGGCGATCTTTATCTTCTTCGGCCTTTTGGCTGGCTGGGGCAGGGCACATCTTCGGCGACCTTAGGCAGTTGTCGCGAACGGCGAACGGAAAAAAAAAAGGTCGTCCTCCTCCCCCCCCTCCTCTCCTCTTCTCTTCTACTTCTTCTTCTTCTTCCCCCACAATCTTTCTTCTTCTTCTTCGTCTTCCCCTTTGTCCCCCTCTCCTCCTCTTCTTCTTCTTCTTCTTCTTCTTCTTCTTCTTCTTCTTCTTCTTGCATCAGTCGACCTTCGGCAGTTAACGACGATCTTTATCTTCTTCGGCCTTTTGGCTGTTTGGGGCAGGGCAGATCTTCGGCCACCTTAGGCAGTTGTCGCGAACGGCAAACGAAAAAAAAAAAAAAAAGGCCGTCCTCCTCCCCCTCCTCCCCTCCTCTTCTCTTCTTCTTCTTCTTCTTCTTCTTCTTCTTCTTCTTCTTCTTCTTCTTCTTCTTCTTCTTCTTCCTCCTCCTCCATCGCCCTCCTCCTTCCTCCTTCTTCTTCTGCCTCCTTCTTCTTCCTTCTTCCATCACATCTTGCCATCCATCCATCCCATCTCGCCATCCATCCCTTCTTCGTCCTCCTCCTTCGTCCTTCTTCTTCCTCCTCCTTCCTCCTTCTTCCTCCTTCTTCCTCCTTCTTCTTCCTCCTCCTTCTTCCTCCTCCTTCCTCCTCCTTTCTCTTCCATCGCATCTCACCATCCATCCCACCATCCCATCTCGCCACCCATCCCACCATCCCATCTTGCCATCCACCCCTTTGTCCTCCTCCTTCCTCCTCCTTCTTCCTCCTTCTTCTTCCTCCTCCTTCCTCCTCCTCCGTTCTTCTTCTTCCTCCTCCTTCCTCCTCCTCCTTCTTCCTCCTCCTTCCTCCTTCTTCTTCCTCCTTCTCCCCCCTCCTCCTTCTTCCCCCCCC